ACAGTAAAACACATTACAGCTGGTCCGGCCTCCTCTCAAACCTGATGGGACACATGCTGGATGAGCTTCAGCATGTGTCCCACCAGCTGTCAGCTCAGCACCARCTGGGTTTTTCCACAACTTTTCAGCTGCCCTTTTTTTTAAGAACATCTGATGAAAAAGACRCACAGAACCAAGCACGTTTTCCTCCATAAACAAGAACTACATCACCCTAAACTTGATTTTTACCTCCTTGACCCTATCTCAGTTTATGACAAAATTAAAAACAAACTGTTTATTGAACTGGAGCATCCTCTGCATTCTACAGTTGCCTTAATTACAGCTTCCTTGTTTTTGTGAGAGCTTTTGAGAGTGTCCTGTTTTTTGTTGTAACACATTTTTATTTTACTTTTGTGAAAACTCTAATTTACTTAATTAAACCTGTTCTTTACAATTAAAACATATTGCATTGTTAAGAACAGTGTGATACTTTTTTTTCTTACTATTAGGTAAAACAGCCATCAGATTGCACAAAAATAAGTTGTGGAAGTAGATCTTTTATTTAACAGACAAACCGTGAAACCTGATGCTAAACTCTTTTGTCAGTTTTGTTTAATTATTTTTAAGCTAAGGTAGAATCCCTACAAGGTGTTAGTTCTGTTTATTTTGTAACAGCTGATTACAGACATAGTTAGGATTCTTGTCTGGTGCAGAAATCCTCCAGTGACCCTGCCCTGTATAGGCTTTCTCACTTAGACTCACAACCTGATCAACTTTTCAAAAGGTCAACAGACTGAAACTATCCAATGAYACAAGTTTTGGGATTTTTGTCACGCTTAAAAGAAGAGTTGTGTTCTGCTACTTCTTTTRTCAGTGTCTCTAAACTGGTGGTAAGATGCTTTCCAAGTTCCATCTTCAAATTTTGTTATGCAGCTTTTCCTCTTCTTGCTCACATGTCAAATTGTTGTCTTTTGTTTTTAGTTAATAACTCTGGGCAGCAAGTTTTCAAAAGAGGATAATCTGTCAGGATATGTGTTGCCTAAAGGTACAGCAAAGAAAAAGACAAATATCAGCGGAGTACGTTGTTTGACACTAAAAGAGAGATTAATTAGGATTTGTTCAATTACTGGTATCTGTAATGGAAAATGTTTAACGTGAGTTTTTACCACTTTGTATAATCATGTTCTCACTAATTAATACACAGATTAGAAGAGTTTAGTTTTCCAGTCTTGTTCTTCACCAAAATAAGATTATCTTCTCAGATGAGATTTTTGTTTCTGAAGTTACTGTAACAATTTATATTCCAGAGGTTTGTTCTGTTAAGATAAAACTATTTCATCTGAGCTGGATACTTTTTCCTTTCTTTTTATTTTATTTTTCCATGGTTTAAATGTTCAGAACTATTATTTTTTATCATTCTGGACATGGTAAGTAATTTTATCAAAATTTTCCCAAACCTTTTTGGAAAAATRTGATGTTTTTAATTATTTTTAAGATAAGTTGTACCGTTCTTGTTTAAGTTAGGATTTCAGTTGCTCGGCAGCCTGGGGCGTCCTTTATCCTGTTGATCTCCTAACACATTCTCATGTCGGACTCGTGACATGTTGACGCTTGGGCGCCGGTCCTTGCCGCCCGTGGCTTTTCCGGGTTTGCGTGACGTCTGAGGTTAACTTGAGGAATCAGGATTAATGGTTAACTTTAGAGTCTGTGGTCCGGGTTAGGCTCTATAAGGCTTGTAGGAGTTAAATTTAGGGTCTAACATGGTTAGTTTTGTGTAATTCTAGTGTTGTAAAAACATATCGTCCTCCTCCGTCCCATCTCGTACAGAACGTGACGCTTGGTGGGCATGAGAATGGGCTCGTTGACCAGCTGAACATTGTTGGTGGGTGACGTTAAAGCTGCAGACTTGTTCAGCRCTGAGAACGGATGTTGTTCTGGAGCCATGCTGTTTGAAAAGGTTCAACATGCAGAACTCTTACCCTGCTTAAATCAACAACATTTTCGGTTTTAAAACCTACATGAGTAACGTGCTGCTTCGTACACGTAGAGCTTGTTTTTTCTGTTTTATTCACGCACCTGTGAGCACTCCGAGAGAATGGAAGGTTTAGTGTTGCCTGAGGGCAAAAGGAGGTGCAGAACCTGCCGTTAGTGAATGATGCAGCTTCTTCCATGTTATTAGAGCCACAGGATTCAGAAAAATATTTCCAGTCTGCTCTTTTGGAACGCTCCGTGTATGCAGTTGTAATTACACGCCTCCACCCCGGAGGATGCATACTGTTCACTGGTTACTCATTAACATCTTCTTTCTTTCTCTTTTCCAGAGAAGGCACACCTGGACCAGTCGTTCTGTGTGTGTCTCTTTCCTATCCTCTCTGATCCCAACCAGTCGAGGCAGATGGCTGCCCTTCCTGAGCCCGGTTCTGCTGGAGGTTTCTTCCTGTTAAAAGGGAGTTTTTCCTCTCAACTGTCACCAGTGTGCTGCTCAGGATGGGAGATTGTGACGAAGGGAAGGTTCGACGCAATCTGCTGGCTTCCTTAGATTGATCATTTTTATTAATTGGTATTTTATAACGTGAAGTGTTTCCGTACAGAAGACTTGTTGTGAATTGGAACAATATAAAACTAAATGGATAAAAGCTTTGATAGTTTAAAACAGATTTTTATACCAACTATTAAAAACTTTATTACTAATGTAATTAACAAGCTCATTTATGCATGGGATTTTACACCAGATGTATTTTTTCCTCTTTCTTCATTTGTTATTTTCTGCCACACTTTTATGACTTGTTGCCCAAATCCTACACAGACAAAAAGCCTTTTAACAGCACACGTTCTCATTTTAAGCATGAGATAAAAGGCTTAAAGGCTGTTTTATTTACATGTTAAACAGGGTTTTGCTTATTTTTTGTGAAATCAGGGTTGTTAAACAATTACAGTTTTTCTCAGTTGCTAAAACACATTTCATGAAACCATCCATCCATTTCTTTAAACTTTACAGTTTAAGTCTTAGGTGGCGACTGTAGTCTATATGTTGCGTAAGTGTATAGCCTATGAATAATTCTTATATGTTTATTTACTGATAGTAAAGTCAGTTTGTTTCAGTCAGTGTTTATTTACTGCCCACTTGTGGTCAAAATGTGGAAGTGCAATTTTAGTAAAGCGAACTTCAATGTAACATATACTGTTTCCGGTCATGCTTTTCAAAGTAAAACATTCAAACTGACTCGTGGCAACAGTACGTCTCCGATGTGCTTTGATCATAAAGTTTGAAATAAACAACTTGCCCTTTTATTTAGCTCATATTTTACTAGCTTATTTAATTGAGTCATTTTTAAATTACTTGTTTTGTTTCAATTTTTGTAATTTTTATTTTTTTTTTATCAAAACGCTCTTGGAATTTGGATCTCAGTGAGCCAACATATACACATAATAGTCAAATTAAAAAGTAGAGATAGAAATGTTAGTAAAATGTAGTTTCAGTTTTCAGTGAATTGTTTTTTTATTCTGTTTATTTTTTTATCTGTTAAGTGTTTTGATTTGTTTACCGCTGTTCCATAGGACCTCCTTGTTTATATATTTATTTGCTGCCCTCTTGTGGTCAAAATGCGGAACTACAAGTTAATCAATCATCGTCAAAACAACCTTTTAGTAAAATTGAAACTAAAACATGTTGTAAAAAATAAACAATCCTTCTGAGTGAATAATTTGCTTTAATGTATTTATTTAATCTTTTATAATATGCTTGAAATTTAGCTTTTTATGTAAACAAGCATTGAAATGTGTTGCTTCACTGCCCTCTTGTATGAAAGTTTTGAAACTACAAATTAATAACTACAAACTAAGTATTTTTAGTGTAAAAATAGCAATCGAGCATTTTCCTGAAAAGATATTTACTTTCAGCTGTAACAGATATAATCTGCGTTGCAACTGTTAGACTTTTTCCAGTTAGTTTGTTTTTGTACCATTACAGTAAAATCTATTGCTTCTTTTAATTGCCTAATTTTAGAGCAGTTTGTCATTTGAATCCCTTTTTTAGTAGTATTTAAATCTCTGCATCTAATATGTTACATTTGCTTTCACCAGCAATATACACTCACCGGCCATTGTTAGGTACACCTTGCTAGTGCAGGTTTGGACCCCCCTTTGCCTTCAGAACTGCCTTAATCCTTTGTGGCATCGACTCAACAATCTTCTGTTGTCTAATTTTGGTGAGCCTGTCTTGAACCAGTCTGGCCATTGCCCTCTGACCTCTGGCATCAACAAGGCATCTGCGCCCACAGAACTGCCGCTCACTGGATATTTTCTCTTTTTCGGACCATTCTCTGTAAATCCTAGAGATGGTTGTGGGTGAAAATCCCAGTAGATCAGCAGTTTCTGAAACACTCAGACCAGCCTGTCTGGCAGCAACAACCGTGTCACATTCATTGCCCCTTTTCCACTAGTGCCACTTAGTGTAGTGTCGGTACAGTCAGTGTCGGAACGGGTCAGTTCAGGTGCTTTTCCATTGATGTTCCAGTCCGGTTCCAGAGGGTGTGTTTTGGGYGGTTGGTAGAGGTGGGTTTTTTGGGGTTTTTTGAAAAAAGTTAATTGCGTAAAATGAGAGATGGAAACACGTGTCGAATAAGTTCTGAAATTTTAAAAATTTGCTAAAAATTCTAATTAAAATTGGATGGAAACACGAACTGCTACACTTGAAAAAATGGCGCCTCAAGTTGTTGTTGTAAAGGCAGCTTAGACGCAACCAGTGACTCCACCCCCTAGCCAATCAGTGACGAACAGTGTTCTGACGTCGCATTCTGGTGTCGACTRGGACCACTTGGAACCACAACGAAGTAGGTACTAAAAAAAGGGCTGGTTCCATGAATCTGGCCTAATGGAAATGGATTCGAACTGTACCGAACCGTACCGACRCTAGTGGTATCACCTTCCCCATTCTGATGCTCGGTTTGAACTGCAGCAGACTGTCTTGGCCATGTCTACATGTCTAAATGCATTGAGTTGCTGCCATGTGATTGGCTGATTCGACATTTGCGTTAATGAGCAGTTGGACATGTGTATCTTATAAAGTGGCCGGTGAGTGTACTCTAGTTAGATGTCATTAATGAGCCTGACCGGTGCAGTGTTAAAGGCAGTAAGGTTCACTCAAACATAATGATATACAGTAACTTCAACTTCTTCCTTCCCACAGAAAACATGCTGCTGTACATCCTCGGACCGGTCATCGCTTGGTTCATCTATCGCTGGTACAAAGAAAGCAAAAAAGTTCCAAACGTTGAGGATAAATATGTGTACATCACTGGTTGTGACTCTGGGTTCGGCAACAACCTGGCCAAGCATCTGGATAAGCTGGGCTTCCCTGTGATCGCGGGCTGCTACACAGAGAAGGGTGAAGATGAGCTGAAGAAGGTCACCTCCCAAAGGCTGAGGACCGTTCCTCTGGACGTCTCCAAATCTGAGAGCGTCAGGAAAGCAGCAGACTTCATCAAGAATCTGGTTGGAGAGAAGGGTGAAGTTGTGCAGTGCATGCATTAATCAGATTAATTAGAGTTATTCTTTCTAGTTTTTTTTTATGTAAAACAATACAGAAGTAATAGGAGGAGAGCAGATTTGGTTACATTTGAGCAAAGCCAGTTTTGTTAGTTTTTATTACCTCATAGCCTGAAGCGTTTCACTTCTGACTGATCCCACCCATGTGGGTGTTTATTATGCTCATCTTTCACTTTCTTTTGTTGTTCTATTTATTATTTTTTTTCTGCTTCAGGTCTGTGGGCGGTTGTGAACAATGCGGGAGTGGCTTTGCCGTCTGGTCCCTCTGACTGGATCGACATAGAAGGTTACAAGTTCATGTTGGCGGTAAATCTAACCGGCGTGATCGACGTCACGCTCAGCGTCCTCCAGCTCATCAAAAAATCTAAAGGCAGGGTGGTGAACGTCGCCAGCGTGTTCGGGCGAATCAGCCCATTCGGTGGACCTTACTGTGTGTCTAAATATGGCGTGGAGGCCTTTAATGACAGCCTGCGGTAAGAGAAGACCGCATTTTCTTAAAGACGTCTAAACTTTTGTTTTGTGGGGGTCCTCTAGAAAAAACACGTTTTTGTGTTTCAGGATAAACATGAAGCCGTTTGGAGTCAAAGTCTTGTGCATCGAGCCAGGCTTCTTTAAAACAACCGTGACGGATACAGAGATGTTGAGGAACAGCTTAATGAAACTCTGGGACAATCTACCTCAGGACCTGAAGGATGATTATGGGCCCACTTTCTTGCAAGCATGTAAGTTACCAAACCTCAACTGTTGTTCTTAACCCTTAACAATAACCTGCCAATGTATTATTAGCAGACCAAAATATGATAGATAATAGATCTTTGTTGAAAACTCTGGCATAATAAGTAGCAGGTGGTGTGCTTTTTGTAGCACAAAAGTCAACAAAATGATTTTTTAATTCAGGTCTACGACATAGATTATAAAGTGTCAACAAAAGCTGTGAATCAGCAACAGAGTTTTGGATTTAAGTTAAAGAGGACATATCATGCAAAATCCACTTCTGTAGCCATTAAATATATTTTGTTTTGAACTTGGAGTCTAGGAGTGCAGACATTTTGAATTTTGTCTCTCCCGGTGCTGCATAGATATCTTTATATTCTATTTGGGTCATATTTTTCAACCCGTTCAGTTTTCTCTAATTTCTATGACATTGTATGAACTGTTACATCACATACAGGAGTACAAGGTATGGACTTCTCAACTACAGTTTGGTCATCTTCATTCTCCTCTCACTCCTGGAGCAATGTTTTCAAATTAATTTGTAAACAAAAATGTTTCTTTGTCACTATTTAGTCATTAACCCCTCTATCAAAATACAATGGACCGCTCTGGAAGCTGGAGGGGGGCGGGATCTGCAGTGCCTAGTTTGGCTTTAAAGAGACAGCCTCAAAATGAATTGATCTGAGACACACGTCAGAAAAGGGGGCAGAGCTAGACTTTTTTGCAAGGTGTGGCACGGGGGGTGGCCAATCAGGTGTCAGGGATGGCACTTGCCATCCTGACAACCCCWCTGGCTTCATCTCTGGAAAGAGGGGCTTGTGGAGTTACAATATAGAGGAATTTTGACCAAAGCATTGCAGTTCCACTTTAAATAGACCCCAACTAAAGGATTTAAATGTGAAACAGAAGGATTTAAGCATGATATATCTTCTATAGTTTTTCTTTTGGTATAAACATCACAACTTAATGATTTATTTTCAGTGTTTGACCATCTGGATCAGAGGTTTCAGCGGCTTACGGACGGGGACCTGATGAAGGTGGTCAGCTGCATGGAGCACGCCGTCTCTGCCCTGCACCCTCGCACCCGCTACTCCCCCGGATGGGACGCCAAGTTCTTCTGGTTGCCCTTGTCCTACATGCCGACCTACATTTCAGACAAATTTTTCCTCCARTATTACCCCCGACCCAAAGTGTCTGTGCTGTAGCTTAACAGGATGTTCAGCTGATCYGAGCGTCACTTTTGTGTGTTTTAGTTTAACAAGAATAAATGTGACTCGTGGCTTTATACATCTATGTTTTTAGAAAAACGGCTGTTTGAAACACAAAGTCACTGTCACTCCTGTTAACCTAAAAATTGATTATTTTGTTCACTTTTTAGCAAAGATATTTAGATTTTACCATTTCTGCTTTTTTCATTGATATTAAACAAAAAGTAAATAGTCTTTGCTTTGCTTGTAGGTTTTATCAGAGTTGATTTGAGGTTAAAGGGAATACAGTTATGAAACCCAAGACTCGTAATCATTCCTGGTGTATTGCACAAGCCCAATCTGGTAAACCATTTACCCCCTGCTCCTTTATCCAATATGGACCTTGACTCTACAGACACACTGCATAGCTGTAGCTTTGCAGTCGCTTAATTTATGAGAAGTGAATGTACAGAAGCGGCAACATCTAAGGAGCTGTAACCATGGTATGTTTACATCGTTGTTACCTAATAATATGTTCTGGTGTTTGTGTTAGAGTTGATCGACACATTAAGAATGCTCGTTCAGTAGTAGACACAGGTTCAAGTTTAGGATTTAGATATTTACTTGTMGTGGGATCTAATGCCATCTAGTGGAGTAGAGGTGCATTAAGGAGTTTGTTTCCCTTCCTGTCTCKTAAAACATGGGCTGAGGACCCCACTTTATGTCATGCAACATCGAGTCGGGGGTCTTGAGATGCTCTTCAGAAATCAAACTGAAATACAGCACACTATTTTACACTCATTAATGTATTCAATTTGTAAAATGGCTGTTTAGGCAGCTTGTTTTGTTGTTGTGACTTTGTTTACTTGACCTCGTTTACTGATTCTGTTGAGTCTGTGTGATGGGATTAAATATAATATTTGTTTGCACAATGGAAAAGTGGTATTTTTGAAGGCATTACATATGTATTTATATGTAGCATTGTATTCACTTTATTTTCTACATGTTGGTATGGAACAGAGGTGTGAGTATAAAAACCTGTAGTAAAAAGACAAGCTGTGACATATAGATGCTAATAATTCGGAGTAAAAATGATTTTACAGTTTTACCTTTCAGATATAGGCTATTTATCAAAAACTGCACTAAAAGTATGTATTTTTCTCACAATGATAAACAGTAACTTTTTAAGGTTTGTGTTTTTATCAAAGAAGCATTTTCTTGTCAGCTATGTGTYGGTGTGTAAATCTGAATTTAAAAGCTTTATTTGTTGTTTGTTTTGTACAAAAAATGAATACTGGATGGTTTAATATCAAATAAATGTAGTGGATTAAAATAAAAAAATGTGTTTTTACCTCATATATGATGATGAAGATTATGAAGATGACAACTCTGAAGAACTCAATGTTATTACAGCTAAACAGGAATAATAATATTAAATTATGAGCAAAATAAGCAAATGCAAAATATGTTTAATGAACTTAACTTTATAAGGTAATTATATCTAAACTCAACCCACTGTCAATGAATAAATTAAAATAAATTAATACTCATATTTCATTCACAAACACAGTAAACATGTCGAATGTTTTAATTTTTTTCTTGCTTTTATTGAAAAGCTGTTGTTTATTTTATATACGAAAGGTGTTACGTATATCAATAAACTTTACTTACTTACAAAATCATGCCATTTTTTACAAAAGTAAGAAGTTTTGAATTTGATGACAGCGACATTTTGTAAGGTCCCTATTTTATTTTTYAATTGTACAATTTCTTAATATCTGGCAACCCTGTGTCTTTTGTGGAAAACTTCAAGTTTCTGGGAACCATCCCATCCCAAGCCCTGAAATGGGAGACCAATATCATCTCCATCCTCAAGAAGGCCCAACAGAGGACTTACTTCCTACTGAAACTAAAGCTGGGTCTGCCACAGGAACTGTTGATCCAGTTCTACAGAGCCGTCATAGAATCTGTTCTGTGCACATCCATCACAGTCTGGTTCAGAGCAGCCACCCAGCAGGACAAAAACAGACTGCAACGAACAATCAGGACAGCTGAGAGAGTCGTTGATGTTCCCACACTTCAGGACCTGTACTCCACAAGAAGCAGGAAATGGGCAGAGAAAATTATGACAGACTCCACACATCCAGGACATGGCTTCTTTCAACTGCTCCCCTCCGGCAGGCATCATAGAGCTCAAAAACAGCTTCTTCCCCCAGGCCATGTCCCTGATGAACAAATTCAAACATTAGACCTGCAACTAGTGCCTATTTACACACCCTATGCACGCTTACTGTACATATTATGTATATATTATTTGTAATCCGTTTGTCTCGGCTATTGTAGAAATCGTTGTGCTTCCATCACTGTGCATATTTACATTTAGATCCATCCATACTTCCATAACAGTATCTTTTGGTTGCTTATTTTGGTGATTTTTATTCAACTGTGTCTGAACATTTTTATATTAAAGTGTTGATTCATTCTAGTTTCTCATCTTAGGTGTCGAATGAAAATCTAGTGAATAATATTGTTGAGGTAAGAAAGTTTTCCTTTTTGTAATCTTTTGCTTTGTTTCTTATGCACTTACATTTTAATTTATTAGGACTTCAAATAATAAAACATGTCAAGATCCTCTACTAGAAGTTGTATATTTTATATTTTTTTAGATCATGCTGTCACATCTGGCCTTAACCTGCGTTTTACTTCTGGTCACCTTCTTTGTTGCCCGCCGGTTCGTCAGAGATTCCCACAAGCTTGATGGTTTCACTCAGAAGCATGTGTTCATCACAGGCTGTGACAGCGGCTTTGGCAACCTTCTGGCCAGACAACTGGACAGAAAGGGCTTTAAGGTCATCGCTGCGTGTCTCACGGAGAAAGGTGCAGCAGATCTGGGTGCAGCAGCCTCCCCCAGACTGAAGACCCTCCTGATGAATGTTACAGACAGCGCCAGCATCAGGCGTGCGGTGGAGTTTGTGAGCAGGGAGGTCGGGGAGCGAGGTGAGCTGGGTGAACAGCACTGATAGGGTGCCAGTCAGAGTGAAGCACTGAGGGAGATAAAGGCAACCTGGAGCATCATCCTCCTACTGATGTGTTCAGAACATTCTCTGCTCTTAAAAAGAGGGATGAAAGTATCACACAGGCTACATTTTAATCACCAGAAACAGAGGCAAATAAATCTTTACTGCAGTTAGATTAGAAACTTTGATCTGGATATGATTGTAGATAGCTGAAGAATTGTATCTTTTTCCACACACTCCAAAAAAAGTCATGAAACATTAGGCCTATGTGTTTGTGGCATTCCTCTTTATTTACGCACTTTGCAGCAACTTTTTTTAGTATGAACCAGTTTTACTCTAATGCAGTTATTTTATAATACTGGATTTGCAATATTTGGATTTCATGTTGAAACAATCACGATGCTCTTTAGATGGCAGTATAGGTACTCAAAATGTTTTTTTTACTCAACATGAATGGTCTCCACACAGATATATGTGCAGCTCACAGCATGTTGGAATCTGCTATAATCAAAATTTATTACGGTATTACATTTTAGGAAATATTTTGGTATAAACAGATAAATATAGTTATTTTAGGCAACCAAAATTATAATTTAATAACATAAATGTAACAGCTATTTTTACTTAATGTAAAACAAGCTGCAATCTTACTTTAAGAATACTAAACATTTTTACTTTAAAACTAATTAAAGTCAAACCAGTGATGTTGCCATGTGACTGCCTTTAACATAACTCAGTTACATTGCCTATTAGTTAATATAAAATGAGTTACTGTAAGRTTTAGAGAGACAAATCTATTTATCAAGACACCATACATGTCTTCTCTGGTAGGTTACACTTTACACACATGCTGATGAACTTGCTCTGAAGCTCTGAAATAAATCATGTCACATTAATATAATGAAACATTTAGTATGAAGTGTTCAGTGTGCAAGATGTCAAAATGACAAAAGAAAGGTGAAGAGCTGGTGACTCATTTGTTAATTCTTCAGGGTTTTTTGTGTGTTTGTTTTTGCACAGGTTTGTGGGGGCTTGTAAACAATGCTGGCAGGGCGATGCCCATCGGCCCGACAGACTGGATGCAGTTGGAGGATTTCACAAAGGTCTTGGATGTGAATCTGCTAGGGCTCATCGATGTGACCCTCCAATTCCTGCCTCTGCTGAAGAAAGCCCGGGGCAGACTGGTAAACGTTGCTAGTGTACTGGGGAGACTGTCACTGACTGGTGGAGGTTATTGCCTGTCCAAATATGGAGTGGAAGCGTTTTCTGACAGCACCAGGTAGCGAGACATTCTACATGTTTGCAAAACTGAGAAATAGGTGTAATGTCAAAAACATAAAGATAAAATATGCACATACAACAAAATGGAAAATGGTTAAAATTACAGTGACCGGCACCCATGGCACAAATACTCTGAAACAAAATGTGCTCAATACAAGTAATAATTTGACCTTTTAATGTAAAACAATACAGACCATTTAGCAAGGTACATTTATAAAATAGGAGAAATGTGCAGAAAAAACACACATGGCCTTTTGTATCTTTGCAGGAGGGATTTGCACAAATTTGGTATTAAAGTGAGCATCATTGAGCCTGGTTTCTTCAAGACAAATATAACCAATTCAGATCTAATTAGTGCTGACCTTAAGAAGCTTTGGGCACGCCTTCCCCAGGAAACTAAATCCTCATATGATGCAACGTACATTGAAAAATGTGAGTAGATCTACACTTCTATTTTAAAACAATTAATAGTGATTTACTCTGAAAAATCTATTTTTTCTTTATCAGATAAACACATGCAGGACTTCTACTTGGGGTTCTTGTGTAATTCAGATATTTCCAAGGTGACCCGGTGCATGGAGCACGCGCTGACTGCTCGCTATCCACGCACACGATATGGAGCAGGCTGGGACGCCAAGCTCATCTGGATTCCTCTGTCCTACTGCCCTTCATTTGTGGTTGATTTTATTATGAGTGTGCTCCTTCCTTTACCCAAAACAGTAAGAATAAACTAAATATCAAACATATGTAGCTGCTTTAGTGAGATCACATAATTTATCAGGTAGCAGTAGTTAAGTATAGAAACGAATCATAATGAAAAAAAGTGACAAGCCCGGGTTACAAAATAAGAAATTTATTCATTTATGTCCCAGCAGCAGCAGTTTAATTCATGTGGGCTTGTTCTGCATGATCAGGTACAGTTTGTTCTTATTGAGATACAAAATAAATCAGTCTGTGACTATTTCTTTTACTTTGTTTAAAAAAAAAAGATCTCTACATCAAGTCTTCTGTCGCTCAGCCAAGATCATTACCTACAAATGCAGGCAACACATCAACACGTCCTTTTAGTTTTTCCAGTAAAAAAAAAAATCATGCTGATTTAAAAACAGTAGTGATAGAGTAAAATAAGTTGGCTTTGCATGAAATGTTAACTTTGTGTTCCTGCTTATTGTCGAATACATTGTCCCAAAAATGATTGAAAGTGGTTAAAAACTGATTTTTATTGTGCTTTAATTTGTCAGCCCTGAAATGAGGTATATTCAATACGGAGTAAAAACATCTTTAGCTGGTTGCACAACATCACATTTCTCTTGTAACCTTTGATCACATACATTCAAAATGCAGCTCACACTTTAGGCTTGTTATATCGCAAGTTTTATGGTGAGAATTAAAATCTAAAGATACGTTTTGAGAAAATCCTACTGCTGAAATTTACAAATATACAACATATTAACATTTCTATCAACAGCTTCAGTGCAAAGATATACAAATTGTACATCGTAATGAAAGAAAAAAACATTACCACAAAATTGGCATAAGAAATGTCAGAAGGCATAGCAACAGAAGAAGTTTTTTCTTCATTATATATTTTTTTCTGTCTTTAAACAAATTACGTTTGTACACAGGCTGCATTTAAAAAAAATTAATTCTGTGCAAAGTGTGTCTTTTCTTTGATTCCCCTCCATTAGAGAGGGTGTTATACGTCGGTGTCCTCTTTAACGAGGTTGGCTGTGTCTTTGAAACTGTCCTCGGTCGGTGAGAAGGTGCTGGGACGATCCTTCTTCGAGCTTTTGGCGGCGGGGACGAACGGAGACGGCTCCGGGGCAGAAGAGTCCGCACTGCTTCCCGGCTTTTCATCTTTCATCTGCAAAATAATCCAAATTGTAATCTAATTTGTTGCTATTTTATATTCTGCGTTATTATTTGTTTTCAAGCCTACCTCTGAATATGAAGGGTTTTCAAACGTGGCGCTTGGCTTTAATTTTCTCTTGAATAAACTCCACTTTGACTCCTTAAAAAAATTTAAAAAATGAAACCTAGTTAGACGGAATCTCTCCAAGCTGGCTCGGTTTATTCCCAGTAAAGTTTTCTGGATTCATGTGGAGAATAAGGTTTCACCTGAACAGGGATACTGCTAACAGAGGTTGTGTTAACGATGCCCACGTTCTGATCTTCGTGATACGTCGGGTTCACAAAGTTATTCAACTGATCGCCGCTCACATTGACAGTCACCTGTTAAAAAAAAAGTTTCATAAGAGCTGAAGAAAATGAAGTTAGGGCTGAAAMTGTGAGATTTAAAGGGTTAATAAATGTTCAGGTAATCATAAGGGGAGGTTCCCTTTAAAATCCTGTGATGATTTTGCACACAGTATTTTTTCTGAGATGATTAAACCCTATGACTATGGTGGTTTTTATTTTTTATTAACTTTGATCATAAATCTTATTAGAACCTGAGAGAGCAATGTACTCATTAAAGTTTTTTTCCTTAGCAACCTCTTTTTTAATGTCAGATTAATCCTAGAAATTGTTTTATAAACTGTAAAACCCCCAATCCTAACTCTCATTGTTTCAAGAACTATATCATGTTTAGTAAACGATACAGGAGTTTTATTTCAGTTACTGTACATTTCCTTGAATACACAGATTTGAGATCTCCTGCTCACAATTTTTTAACAAGTTTCTAAAAAATGGTTTTAAGTAGTAAGTGTRTTTAGAATGATGTCACTTTGGAGAATCAAAGATAAATTCTTATGCAGGACTAAAGGTAATTGGCAGATCTGTCTGGGGCTTATTGTACAGCAAATTGCAGCTGTAAAAAAGATAAAAAATATTTAAAAAAATTCTAAAGCAATCATTACATTGCAGGTTACAAAACTTAGAATTTGCATTAAATAGTTAACCTGATTAAATGTTCTTACTATATTTCATTTTGCATCACATGCTTTACTCAAAACAAGTTTTAATATGTTTTGGACTGTGTTCTACCTAGGGGTGTAAGAAAATATCGATACACTGAAATATCGCGATATTTTATTTCCCGATACTGTATCGATATTCTAAAGCCCTGTATCGATTTTTATTAAGGTTTAAAATGTCAACTTTCCTGCCAGCCGTTCATTTTTATGTTGTAGTTCAGCCTCTGACCACTAGTTGGCAGCAGTGAGCCAGCCAYTTGGCTCCTCCACAGYTTGAGCAAAGCAGAACACAGCTAAATGTATCAAAAGCATGTCTATGTAATATTAGAATTTTCTGAGACAATGAATTTTGGTTTTTCGTCATGTTTTTTTTTTTTTTTTTCCCAGTAAGAGGTTTTTATTTAATAGAATTTTTGGACCCAAAAAAATCGCAATATATCGCCTTGTTTACAGTATTGAAATATATCGGGATATATCGTATTGTGACCCCTCTGTCATGATATGTATCGTATCGCCAAATTCTTGCCAATACACAGTCCCTAGWTCTAACCCAGCCAGTCTTCACTGTCATTGTATTAATGTTCTTTACATTGTAATGTCTATCTAGAAAAGTTATGCAGTAACACAAAAAAAGTTGTGTTAGTGTTAAGAATTGCTTCATGGAATGTTGTTTCTTTGAAAATAAATGTTAAGTTTTTWATTTTTTTGTGTGTTATGTAATTCAACGTGCACTGAACTATTTGAAAGTTGAAACATGATGACAGAATCAATGTATTTGTGGGTACCTGTGAAGCATGGATGACAGCAGCATCACCCGACAGTGGGGCAGTGGCATACAGCGGGTTCTCAAACGTGATTGGTTGCCTCCCAGCATCGATGGCAAAATTATCATCCTGCAGGGATATAGTCAGCGTGAGCTGTATTTCAATAATGTTTAATTGGTTTTCTCAAATTCTGCTTATGCAAGCATTTCTCTAAAAGTGGAGGAGAAATAAAACTGAGAGGAGACTTTAAGTCACTCGAAACACCATTAACTGCACTCCTGAACTCACCATCTGCATGGCTGTGTCGATAACAGACACTCCAATGTGCGACGGCCCGAGGTCTACATTATCACCCGASCGAAACATCACCCCGTTCCCGGTGTCAGCCGACTTCACCAGACTGGTGAGGCTGGACAAAAACCAAATGCTTCAACCTGAACGTTGTCCAACAACTATCTGCTGTGATCRTCATKATAAGTGGAGTTAAAAAAATTAAAAACACAAAGTCAGTGAAGCTGAAAATTACCTGGGCAGTTTAGGCATAGAGGGGATAAAAGATCCTGTTCGTTTGTAATTGAGGAAAACCCCGACAGCCAAAGCTCCAGTAATCAGGATGATAATAACAGCCAGCAGAACAGCCACAGCTAAAAAATTTAACAAAGAAAATAACAAAAAATAAATAAATAAATCAGATGTGAGCTTATTGTACATTTGCAGTTTCATAGTTTTATTTTCATATAAATATAAAAACCCTCCAATTTTTTTCTGACAAACACACTTCATTTACAATATTAAAGCCTAAACTATGAAATGAATAAGCAAAAACTGTGAGACTAAGAAAATAATTGATAGGGAGCAAACTGTAGCAGATTCCTTGTTCACATATTTAAGCAGCTGTAAAGCAGCTGAGAGATAAACACACAGTAGATTATTTTTTTAATCTTTAGATGGAACAGACAGGAGTATAAACGTGCCCRTCTTGCTGACTTAATATGAGCTGTGATTGAGTTACTAAAAAGTTAATCTATAATTTAGTGTTGCATTAGTTGGTTGATTATTAAATTAAAGGAATGTAATTTTAATTATTTCACATTCCCAAAAGCTGCTGATCCAGATGTTTTTCAAACTGCCTATTAAATTTAAGTTAAAGTGTAACTACGTTAGGCCAGCCTTTTGTCTGCTGCAGCAAAACAGTTAATGACTGCCGTATCACAGCAGCTCACATTTAAAACAAAGCAGAAACACTGATTTTTAAGTACAACAACACTCGACTAGTCATGAAAGCACCTAYAAATGAAGCKAGCATTTCTTGAAGGAATGCTTGTTACCCAATTCCCTTCATGCTAAGGTTTTAAACTTAATTTCATTAAATGACAATGGTCAGTGRRATGCCTGTGGTTTTGAATTAGAGACCTSTTTGCACYACTTAGGMCACTGGCTGGCTCTGAGCCGTCAAAGGAAAATAATTCTTGGGGACCCTTTATGGATCCTGAGAAGCTCAGAACACTTCTAACCTTTTTTGAATAACGACCTGTGTCTTTTTGGGGAGAGCAATGGGCCCACTTACGAGGTCCCCACTCATGTGGGTTCTTTATCCACCCACAGTAACCATAACCACTAGTTTGCTAAAGTTTTAATCTTTAGCATGCATTTTAGATCTTGCATGATTTRTCAGCACTTGGGGGGACTCTCTTCTACTATCGCATTCAGTTTTAGCTCAACATCTGTAAAAGTGAGTGACAGCCTATTTGCGCATGGCAAGGTTGATWAGCTGTGGCGGCCATCTTGTATCAGATTGACTCTAAAATTTACAAACTTCTCTCTAACCAAGTGTTACAATCTTATATCCAGTCAAAAAGTATTTAGATCTTATTATGAGACTRGTATCGTAAGCAAGAGCAGAATGTGTTAGATTAATAATCTTGTTAGCCTAGAATTATTCCTTTGTTTCAAGAAGTTTTACCAAATGTAAATGTCTTACTGCACTGCAGATTATTACGCTTAATTTGAGAAGAGTCGCACTATAATCTAGTTTTTTWACTTATTTTTAGATGGCTAATTTTTGCAGTGATTGATGCTCCTTACTTTCTGGGTTTCACTAAAATCTGTCCCTTGAATCATGAGATATTTTGCCAACACAACAGACAAATGAGTACATGCACACATTAACATGAAATAACATGATTACCTTCCTTTTATGCAAGCAGGTTGAAAATATGGGAGATTATCAATAAATAAAATGTTAGATAAGCGTGRTTTTGCTGTACCTGTTCCAGGTGGAGCTCCTCTAGATTTGCCAATCTCACAGTAGCTACCAATATAGCCATACGGACATCTGCACAAAGTCAAGACAACACAAAACAGTGTTTTTAACAATAGAAGCAGCTTCCTGTACAGAAAAAAGAKTGAATACCAGATCTTCTTTTGGTAGTTCTAACAATGCCTGATGGTGTCTGATCTTTATTTGGCTAAAAAAGATGCCTGCAGCTAAACTCACTTGCACTTCGGCAGACCCCCTTCATCTGTGTAGCAGGTTCCACCATTCATGCATCTGCATGCAAGAGGCATTGGAACAGGAGGCTCAATGGCTGCAGATGCAAAAGCCGGGCATACAGAGGATCAAATCACACCACAGCACAAAAACAAAACACAAGCAGCCAAGCACACGTGGAGAATGGATTTATGAAATTAGATGCMGTGTCACTGTTTTCACAAGGCCGCGGACAAGTTGGAGCAGCTTGGCCCTTGTTGTTTACCTGCATCACATTCTGTCGAGTCGATACTCGATGAAGAGGAGCCTTGTGGGCAGGCGCAGGTGTACCCACCAGGTCGGAGGAGGCACAGGTGACTGCACACATTCTTACAGGGGTTGGATACTGACAAGGAGAGACGACGAATGAAAACTCGGTGAGACTTTTCTGCATCCACTTCCAATTTTTGTTTTGGTTTGTTTGGTTTGTGAATTCAGTTCACCACCGAAGAAACTGTACACTCTTTGAATTTTGAGTCATCTTATAAAAATGTTTGTAACACTCTCATTTATAACAGCAAAAGGTTGATAAAATCCTTTATTCCCTCTGAGTTCTGACCTGACCGGTTGTGCCGGTGCTCCTGGTAAAGACGAACTTGCGTCAGCCAGGGGTTGATTGTAAGAACTTTGACTTTATGTCCTCGTCCAAACTTGTTCGTCTTCCACACTTCACCTTTGTCTTTTGTTGTCCAGTACACATGCCCCTCGAATACATCCAGACTATACGGATGGCCAATATCTGGAAAACAAACAAACATTTAAACCTTTTTATTAAAAGTTATAAATGCTTAGTCATCTGTTTTGATGTCAGAAGCCCACACCACACATCATGTCAGTATTCTGACCTCCTGATATGACAATCTTTCTGTCTGTGCCATCGGGCTTCATGGACTCAATGATGTTTTCTTTGGAGTCACACCAGTAGATTCTGTTTCCATTCACGTAGTCCAGAGCCAGCCCAGTAGGCCAGCCCAGGTCCTCCTCCTTCACCAGCACCTGTCTGTGCTGACCGTCCATCCACGCTGACTCGATTTTGGGTTTGTTTCCCCAATCTGTCCAGTACATCATCCTGCACATAAAACGTCAGAGTAAGCCTTTTTATTCACCAAAAAAATAAAATATATTTTAAAAAGGCTTTATACCCCACTGATGGATTCACAACGATGGCAGCAGGCTGATYGAGATCAGTGGAAATCAACCACTTCCTGTACCGCCCATCCAGCTTGGCCACTTCAATTCGGTTGGTCCCTGAATCTGTCCAGTAAATATGCCTGTTGAAAATAAACGGAAACACTGAAAAAAAAACTCAACTAATTTCACTGCCACTCTGCAAAAACACGTTCACTTACCTGCCAACCCAGTCGACAGCGATGCCTTCCGGTTTAACAATATACCTCAGGTTCAGATTCACCTCTTTCACAGGGTTGTTGCCGTAATCGTTGAACGTGGTCATGTAGGCACGTTTGATCGAGCCAAACTGGGATCCTTGACCAAGAACTGTCCAGTAAACAACACCTGCAGAACACAAAGGAAAGATGATGCAACCTCAGAGGACTAATAAACTTTGTGTTCACAGTGTCTTAAAAATAATCAACAACAACAACAAAAAAAAGGTTTAAAGAAGCAGACTCACTGAGGCCTTCACCCTCTGGATCCCACAGGTAGTCCAAGGCTTGAATGTGCTCRGCATTGTCAATATAATCTGAATACTGCTCCGAGGACAGATTGAAACGACGGATGCGAACATTGTCTGGTAAAAGCAACACTGGAGGGTTTCCTGTACAGAAATTGATTACTTGTAAGAGTTTTCCTAATAAAAGCAAAGAAGTGATTTATAAACCTTTTTTTTTATTTTAGCTGTAATTTGCCAAACTTTTACCTTGCGCAGCACACTCAGTCCCGTGAGGCTCACCAAAAGACAGAAAACCTTCCGAGCAGAAGCACTCATAGCTGCCCTTTGTGTTCCTGCAGTCCTGAGGGCACGTTCCAAACACCTCACACTCGTTCACATCTGTCAGCAGAAACAACGTGAGCTATAACATGACCTGGATGTGCTGAATACTTCTGGATTAGAGTTTTATACCTTCACACATGTGTCTTTCTGTGTCTCTGGGTCTGTAGCCAGGTCTGCAGGAGCAGAGGAAGCCTCCTCCTGTSAGGTCTGTACAGTTGTGTTCGCACATGTTTGCGCTGCAGGTGTGTCTGCTGTCGGAGTCTGAAACAGTTGGACTGAATGTCAAACGTGGGATAAAAGTTAAATACCGGGTATTGCAACAATACCGTGCAATTTTTTGTAGCCATCATGGTGGTAAAGAAAGACAAAATGCAACACCCCTGTACACTCCTGTTGAATATCACTTAAATGCCTTGTAATTCAAAACATTGCAACCTATTTATTGCAAATAAATGTTTTAACAGGATAGTCCCGCCTCATCACTGAGAAATAAAATGTACAAAAAAGTTTATACACATCCGGAGCTTATACACATGAAGCTTATAACCTCCTTTTGGAGCTGTGAGCTGTGTCTGCATCTCCGTGGCTCCATGTGGAAATAAAAGCAAGAAAAAACAAACCTGCAAAACTAAACCAGCATAAAACTCTAAAAATAAAACTCTGGAGGGTTGTGAAGCACGTTTGTTAATGTCACTTACGGCACCCACGCTCATCCGACTCGTCTCCACAGTCGTCATAATCATCACAGGTGTACTGAAGAGGGATGCACTGCCTGTTGCTGCATTTGTACTCTTCATCACTACAAGGTCCGTGTGTGGGGTGTTGACCTGGGCGAAGACAATAAATTAGCCGAGGCCGCAGGATGAATCTAGTTTTCACACAAAACGGCACCAGTTGCTGCAGTGATCTATCTGCACTCACAGTTTTCCTGTTTTTCGTCAGAGCTGTCACCACAGTCGTTGACGGAGTTACACAACTCATGGTTGTAGATGCAGCGGTTGTTGTCGCATCGGAAACGGAACGGAGCCTCACATTCGATGTCCACTAAGGAAGAAGAACCACTAAGCCTGAGTTAAACCTTAATACGCATCCCAGTAGCTGGTATGTGATTTAGAAGCATAAATCTTTGTGTTTTCAAGTTTATTTCTTACCACCAGCTTTGGATGTTATCCATTAAATGGACGTTATTAGCCATTATCAGTCCCATAGACTGGCTTCAGACTGTCCCTACTGTGCCGCCTAGTGGGTTCTCCATCCCATAGAATGCTAGTATGAGGCATAAAGCCACTAAGGTTCATTTAGAGAAAATGACCTGGGCTATGATAAAGTAGACCAGACTCCGGTGGTAGCAGATTGTTGCATTCYATCGTATATGGCGCTGGTAACCCACTAGGGGGCACTGTCGGGACAATCTGAAACCATTCTATGGGACTGATAACCGCTAATAACGTCCATTTAATGGACCGATAACATCCGAACCGGCTGTTTCTTACAGCAGAGGTGCAGCTCCTCATCTGAGTTGTCTCCACAGTCGTTGTCTCCGTCACACTTCCAGTGGGGCTGGACGCAAATGTGGTTCTTGCATTCAAACATGGTGGGTGGGCAGTATGTGCCGTTGGGAAATCGAGTTGCTGGAAATCAGAAAAGATAAGTCCTCTTTGGCTTTTGTCTTGGTGTCCTTTTATAGTTCCTGTAAAGCTTGTGTTTTAGGTTCACTAATTCACTGTTATTGGAAAACTCAGAACCGTTTCGTTGAATGTAGTTTAGTTCGCTCTTTGTGTATGACACCTGGGTTCTGTTTTCCCTGGATCAACTACTCAATGAAGCAACCAAAGCAATAAAAGCAATACTGTAAACAGTTTTGATATCAAACTGTGACACTCACGACATGATGTCTCATCCGTGAAGTCCAAACAGTCGGCATTGCCGTCACATTTGAAACGTTCAGCGATGCAGTGTCCACTCCCACACTGAAAGTAGCCAGGGTGACATGTCCGCAACTCTGCAGAACAAAACATAGCACCAAGATAACTTTCAACAACCACAGCCATATTCAGTGTACTGTAGATAGTTGTTTTGGAGCGGACTGAATAATCTTGCTTTCAATAACTAACTGTTGGTGGTCCCGTCCGTCTACGCCTCAGACTTAGAAGTTTTATTGCCTCTTTGTTTAGTGCAGCCCCTTCATTATTCCCAAACAGTCCCGATTTTGAGCCAAAACAAAGAGCCTCCACTTACCGCAGTCCCTTTCATCCGAGTTGTCCTCACAGTCGTTGTCATGGTCACAGACCCAACGGTCGGGAATGCAGCGCAGATTGTCACAGCGAAACTCGCTCTCTGTGCACGAGCGCGGCGCTGGGAGAAAACAAGGAAGCAGAATAAATCAAAAGCAGAACCTTTTTTTTAAATACTMATGATGAAGTCATGATTTAAAGAACTTCAAAAAGTTGTTGGTTCTCAACATCTTGGTTTGACTAATTTTTCTGAACATGTATCTGTTTTTGAAAATAGCTRACATTCAGAATGATAATAATAAAATCAACTCATCTACACTGAAATGGCAGATTTGTTAAATCCAAACTCACTTGTCCTCAGCARTGCAGTACACCGAGGAGCCGCGCCACCGTATTCTAACTCCACCTCTTTTTCCTTTGAGAAGCTGCATTAAACTTATTAGCTGCCATGTTTAAATTCTCCAGGGCAAAGGGCGACTGACTCCTTCACTCCCTCTTTCTGACACAGAGAGGACAGCCTGTCTCTCCAGCTGCTGATAACACCAGCTCTCCCACCACCACACTCTCAGCACGAGTGAAGACTCTCAGCAATCCTCACCGAAATTCAGATAAAAAAACATTTCAGCAAAACTATTTTCTCCCACTCCTGTTTTATTCATAGCTCTGGTAACATCAAACAATAAACCCCTCTTAAATTTTATCTGGTTTGATACACACAAAAAAAAGCTGTGATGAAACACAGTTGTGTGTTTGAGGTAATGAATATTACTCACTGCAGCTGTGTTCGTCAGAGTTATCCCCACAGTCATCATCACCATCACACCTCCATCTCAGCGGGATGCAGCGATGGTTGTCACAGCGGAAATCTCCGGTAGGATCACAGCTCACTTCATCTGCATAAACAATAAGCTTATGAAGGTGGCTTTGGGGCAATTCAATTCACCAAACAAATAAAAGCTCTTCAACATTTACAGATTTAACAAAAAATGTTTTATTTTGCTTTGTTTTTTTTGTTTTTTGTTTTTTTTGCAAATGAAGTATAGCACCATTGTTTTGGGTTAAATTGTAAAAAAATGTATAGGGGACCACTAAAAAAACAGATTTGCATTTGGACATGTTTGAGCCATTTCCTCAGGGGGGAGCTGCACAACTGGGATGTATTGTGAATTAAGACATTTGCGACTCAACAATTCATTTGAATGACATTTAATCCAAAAATAAAAACTCTAACTTGTAAAATTAACAATGGAAGGAGGTACAAAATGGTTTATTTAAATAAACTACACCAATATGCTGTTACCTATTCACTTCATAGAGTTCAATTTGTAATAATTATTCAGAAGTGCATATGCCTAAATTATTATAAGACTATTACATATTATGTTCTCCTGTGCAGACCAATAAATGTATCTAATCAGAGAGCCTCTCAATGGGCCTCATGCAAGAACATGTTCGTATTCTTATCCTAAATTTCTCTTACTTTTGTTCGTACGAAGGGTTCGTACGAACATGTCACGTCAGATTCAACAAACKCTTCTATCTTCAGGAAAAGTGTGTAAATGARCTGCGTAAATTCCACCTGTTCATATCTAGCTGCTCGTGCACGCGAGAGGAGATTAGCATAATTACCACCCCAAAAACACCATATAAGGCTAAGTTTCCTGCCTCAGATATCAGGAAGTGTCCATTCATGAAACTGACAGCGAAAAATAAAAAGAACTTTACGAGTTCAGAGATTGAAGTCCGTCTGTCAGAGATCCAGAAAAGACAATCTGTCATTTTTAGCAGGTCAGCTGTGGAATAAAAAGAGCTGCTAAAAGTATAAACAACTGTGTTAAATCATTTTCATTTATTCAGAAGCCACACCGTTGTGCACCGTACCCCCCCCACCCCCACCCCGCACGCCGCGTGGTCTCAAGTGGTCTCAGTTGGGGTTCTGAAATAAGCATTTTAAAATGTTTTCAAAATATGTCTGACACTTTAGAGAAAATCCAGGACTTGCTGGAGGGATTATGTATCCCCTCTGGCCTGGGAACGTCTCGGAGTCCCCTAGGACGAGCTGGAAAGTGTCGCTGGGGAGAGAGAAGTCTGGGTCTCTCTGCTGCTGCCCCCGCGACCTGATCCCGGATAAGTCGGCCGGACGGACAATTTACACTCACCGGTCACTTTATTAGGTACACCTGTCCAACTGCTTGTTAACACTTAATTTCTAATCAGCCAATCACATGGCTGCAACTCAGTGCATTTAGGCATGTAGACCTGGTCAAGACAATCTCCTGCAGTGCAATTTGCACAAGCTCATCGAAATTGGACAAGAGAAGATTGGAAAAACGTTGCCTGGTCTGATGAGTCTCGATTTCTGCTGCGACATTCGGATGGTAGGGTCAGAATTTGGCGTCAACAACATGAAAGCATGGATCCATCCTGCCTTGTATCAACGGTTCAGGCTGCTGGTGGTGGTGTCATGGTGTGGGGAATCTTTTCTTGGYACTCTTTGGGCCCCTTGGTACCAATTGAGCATCGTTGCAACGCCACAGCCTACCTGAGTATTGTTGCTGACCATGTCCATCCCTTTATGACCACAATGTACCCAACATCTGATGGCTACTTTCAGCAGGATAATGCGCCATGTCATAAAGCTGGAATCATCTCAGACTGGTTTCTTGAACATGACAATGAGTTCACTGTACTCAAATGGCCTCCACAGTCACCAGATCTCAATCCAATAGAGCATCTTTGGGATGTGGTGGAACGGGAGATTCGCATCATGGATGTGCAGCCGACAAATCTGCGGCAACTGTGTGATGCCATCATGTCAATATGGACCAAAATCTCTGAGGAATGCTTCCAGCACCTTGTTGAATCTATGCCACGAAGAATTGAGGCAGTTCTGAAGGCAAAAGGGGTCCAACCCGTTACTGGCGTGGTGTACCTAATAAAGTGGCCGGTGAGTGTATATTGTTAGTCTAAATTATTACATTTAAAATTATAACTCTAATCCAAGCAGAATAGCCTATTGTCAACATAATTATGGAGTGTGATTTATTTTCAACWCAAAATATCTTCAAACTAAYGAAATATAAAGTTATTAGAGAGGAAAACCCGTCTGGATAACAGCAGACTGACTGCTCGTAAAATATACGACAGGTCTGGACCACTCGTAAATTTTGTTTGTATCTGAAAAAAATCTTGGAATACGAAAACATCGGTGAATGCCACAAATTCTCTTAAACCACTCGTACGCACAACTTAAGAACAAATCTGTGCGTACGAACGGTTCTTGCATGAGGCCCATTGCCCGTAAATCATGTGCTTTATGTAAATGATAATGACTGAGATGCTAAAGTTCACAGAATGTGTGATCATCATGATGACAGAACAGAAACAGTGATGCAAACTTATTGCAACTTATTGCAGGATTCAACAATATTGCATGATTTTTCTTATATCGTAAAGCACAACAGGTTGCACAACAAATAAGTTTAAACATTAAATATCACCAACAACTGTTAAACTTTAAACTATATACACATTTATGTGGGGGTAATTTTATGAACATGTACAATAATTGTCTAGGGTTCTAATATTATTCAAAGGGTTACTTTGAAATAACTGACTGGTGTTTTTTAATTAAAAAGCAAAGGTCATAAAGGGAGGAGAGCAGGCTGCTGCAGACAGATGTGTGAACTCTGCGCATGCCAGTATCCTGTGTCTGAAGAGGATAAGGCTGCGGGAGATGAGAAGCACAGAAAGCAGAGGAGTGCAGCAGAGATGGTCTGAGCTGTCTCTACCACTTGGTGCTGGGGGGTCAAAGATAGCACAGTGTTCACTGGGCTTGCCCTCCTTAGCCCTCCACCTGGCCCATCTTCTGCATTCTTACAAGAAGATTAGCGCAGATCTCCCCTCCTGCACAGGCATGGCACTAATGGAGCGAGGGGCTCGAGATAAGAGAGGCTGCGACCGAGCGAGTTTGAATCAGAGCGAGCGCAAAGAGACTTCCATGAACCCTGCCCCCGCGCAAGGACAGAGCACAACAACGCGCGCAACATATACACACGTATGCTGACTCATACCAATGAACAGGTCATAAATCTGTGGCGCTCCCAGGGTGAGGTAAATCTTGGGGGAGGGTGACTGGTGAGGCGCTCTCCATCAGCACCTCCCAGCACCAAAGTTACACGGGAGGCTGAAATGTTGGCTAATTGCTCTCCATTCACTCCTAAAGAATTCTCTAGAGTTAGACCAGGGGTGTCCAATACTGGTGCTCAAGGATTATCCTGCATATTTTACTTGTTTCTCTGCTTCAACATACCTGGTTTAAATGATTAAAAAGCTTCTGCAGAACTTGAAGAGGTTATTCAACCACTGAATCGTGTGAGTTGAAGCAGGAAAACAAGTAAAACATACAGAACGACAGCCCAATTAAACACCCCTGAGCTGGACCAATTGAAACGCACCAAATAACRAATGGAAATAACAGTTCAGTTGTGCAAAAGACTCACGGCAGCTCTGCTCATCGCTATTGTCTCGGCAGTCGTTTTCACCGTTACAAACAGACCACAGCGGCACACAGCGGTAGTTGGTCTTGCAGTCAAATTCTGTGTGGTTGTCACATCGATAGGCTGGTCCCACTGGAGAAAAAAAAGACCAACAACCAGACCCAATTAGAAAACACGTCAAGAATTTCATAAAGAAGAACGGTCAGCTGACAGATGTCCACAGTTGAAGTTTACAGAATCTGAGTCAATTTTTAAAGTTTTTTTTAGCATAATAGCAAAGAAAGATATTTTGGATTACTTACTACATTCCTCTAGAGGTTCATCTGAATTGTCGCCACAATCATCATCAACATCACATTTCCAGCTCTGTGGGATGCAGCGCCCGTTTCGGCACTTGAACTGTCCAGGGCGACAAGTCCGGGTGGAGCAGTGGGCAGGGTCTTCGTCCGACTGATCACCGCAGTCATCCTCACCATCGCACTGCCACAATTCAGGGATGCACCGCTTATTTGCACATTGCCACTGATGGCTCTCACATTGGTGCGTAGCTGAAAATAAGATCAAGCAATTCAGTCGACAGAATATTTGAACAACTAGCCAAGAAACAAAAAAAACAATGTGAACAGATGAAGTCTAAAGAAGCACATAGCAGCGCGATGGATCAGTGGTTAGCACAGATGCCTCATAGAAAGAAGGTCCTGTGCTTGATCCCCGATTTGGACCTGGGGTCTTTCTGTGTGGATGCATGTTGTCCTTATGCTTGTGTGGGTTTTCTCTAGGTACTCTGGTTTCCCCCACAGAACAAAAACATGTACAATAGGTTGCCTTGAGGCCTAGGCTTCCTTTGCAAAAGAGATCTGTGATCTCATTGGAATTTGCCTGGTTAAATAAAGGTCAGTAAATAAATTTCAAAAATAGCAAATACTGTTTATGGACCCACCACACAGAACAACATCTTCATCCGAACCATCAGGACAGTCCCGGTTGCTGTTACAAAGGAAGTGTGAACTGGTGCAGTTCCCATCGTTGCACTGGAATTGGCCGAGTCGGCAGTGGCGATTCGGACAAGTGGAGGGCTCATCGGAGCCATCTCTGCAGTCCCGCTGACCGTCGCACTTCCACCAGATAGGAATACAACTGTTGATGGAAAAGCGGGCGTGGATGAGACGTTTGAACAACACAAACCAATTAAAATCTCTTTAAATGCTAAATGACCATTAAGGCACTGACACAAAGAAAAGAAAAACCAACAAACCGTTCATTGTTTGCACATCTGTACTGCGTGCTTGTGCACATGGGAAGGCATCGGGTCACACGTCCTATTCGAACAGCCAGGAAATGGTCGGGGCACTGGCAGGTGTGTTCGCGCCCCCCATGACGGATTAGGCACAGGTGTGAGCAGCCCCCATTGTTCACAGCGCAGGGATTGTTTACTATCACAGGAAGAGACACACACATACAAAATCCATTCATCACTGCTGGTTGAGTGTGTGTCTTGTGAGGACTTTTGAGTTTTTACCTTACCAATAGGCTGCCTGTAAGGATGGCATACATGAATGTCAAATGGTCTGTGCGTGGTGTTAACCAGAACTTCCCGAGCAGAGCCGTCGTATTTGTTGCCTTTCTCCACTGTGCGTGTGTTCCAGTCAGTCCAATATACAGTATCCTCAAAAACAGTCAGTGCAAATGGATGAGGTAGGTTTCCATCATACACTGTGTGTCTGTGCCGACCCTCCAAGTCAGAGAATCTGAGAAGAAAAAAAGGGTTTTAAAGGTGACAGATCTTTTTGTGCTGCGAGTTAAATGAATGATGATGATGATGCCTTTTATTGAACTCACTCAATGTAGTTGAGATGCGCRTCTGACCAGTAGAGTTTATCATTTGTGTAGTCGATTGTGATGCCGTTGGGCCACTCCAGCTTTGTGGTGATGATCGCTGTTTTGTTGGTTCCGTCCATTCCRACACGACCAATAAAAGCTTTATCTCCCCAGTCTGTCCAGTAAATGTATCTAACAGGACGTCAAAGGAAATCAATTCAGTGACTTTTATATAAACTGCAGGCATCCATATACAAAAAGCAGAAAACATTTGAAGCTATTTCAATCATTATGAACATACATGTGATTGATACAACCATCAAAGAAGCAAATAATAATGTTTATCATTTTTAAAAAGTCTACTAGGTGGTGATTTTCAGGGTAAGTGAATTTTTGAATGTCCTGAGGCTGAACTGACTAACATAGAAAAACCTCATACTAAAATGATTTTATGTTCACTCTTAACCAAAATCAACATCAACATCATCAAGAGTGTCTAATTTCAGCTCCATATGGCTGGTGACCATAACTCATACAACAAAACAATGTAAAAAAAAAAAAACTATTTGACCACACATAAATTGAAGTTTTCTCACAAACTGGTGTTACAAAAGTACAAAATAAGTCTTGTATACATAAACTATTACTCAACCAGTACCACCCCAGTGTATCAGGAAAATTTTCCTAGAACAAACTAATTAATATAGTTATAGACTAAAAACTAAAAAAATTCAAAGAATACAGTTTTTTTTTTCAAATGAATAAATTACATTTTAAGATTATAAAACAAAAGAAAGGGCTAGTGATAAATATATATCTGTTGTTTTAAATAAGTGATAACCATTTTGAAATAGTGCAATACTTTTACATGTGCTAATTCCTCACCCATATTTCGGATGCACAACAATTCCTCTGGGATTTTCAAAGCAGAAAGTGTTGTTGGCATCGACGCAGTGTTCGGCCAGTTTTCTGACAAAGCGACCATCTAGTTCAGACACTTGAAGACAATCCAAGAAGCTGTCCACCCAGTAGAGCTTCCTGCCTACCCAGTCAACCGCAAGTCCTTCTCCATGCAGAACTCCGTTGACCACTACCTCTCTGTTACTGCCGTTGAAAGACATCCTCTCAATCACTCGACGGTTTACGTCGACCCAATAGAGGCGCTTGTCAACGCGATCAAAGTCCAGAGCGACCACGCTGGTCAGGCCCTGCAGAATGAGCGAGTAGGCCTGCCCGTCTGTCGACAGGTTCCTCAGATAATAGCGGTTGCTGAAGATGAGGTACGGCGAGATGTTGCTGTTCTGACGGCAGCTGCGTCCGTCCRGCTCCCTGAGGAACCCTGGAGAGCACTTGCACATGTAGGAGCCGACGGTGTTTTCGCAGATCTGACTGCACACGCTCGGCGTCTCCGCGCACTCATCGACGTCGTCGCACGTTTTGCTGTCGGACATTAAACGGTAGCCGGGACGGCATGTGCATATGAAGCTGGTGGGCGTGTCAGTGCAGTTGTGATCACAGTGGTGGACGGACAGGTCAGTGCATTCATTGACACCTGCATCCGAGAAGAGAAAAGATGCTATGAGAAGAACTGTTACTTGAATACAAATAGTAGCTGTCTTTGTAGTCCTTTCAAATTTAGCATGGAGCATAAGCTGCTAAAAAAAAGAGCTCTACAGCAGACTTACACTCTAACCACAGATTTCTGACTCACCACATCCTTTCTCATCACTGTTGTCGGAGCAGTCATCATTCCTGTCGCACACTTTGCTCAGAGAGATGCAGTGTCCATTTTCACACCTGAACTCTCCCGGGGGGCAGGWGGGAGCGGGAGTATGACACATGTGCTCCTGTTCATCAGACTCGTCCCCGCAGTCATTGTCTCCGTCGCAGACAAAGTCACGTGACACGCAGCGGCCATTCTGGCAGGTGAACTGGTGCGACTGACAAGGTTGGTAGGTGCAGCCCTGCTCATCACTGCCGTCTCCGCAGTCGTTGCGACGATCGCACCTTTAAAGGGCCACACACGATTAGCTGTGACTTCCACAAAGACTCATTACAAATGGGGTTTCAATTATTTTAWATCTAACCTATAGGAGCTGCGGATGCAGAGACCATTCCCACAGGTGAACTCATTGATGCCACAGGATCTGTGTGTACAGTTTTGATGCTCATCTAACGCATCTGCACAGTCCGCATCTCCATCACACACCCAGTCACGAGGAATACATTTCCGCTGAGGGGGCTGGTTGTTCACACAGGTGAACTCTGTACTTGAGCACGTGCGGTTGGCTGGGAACACAATATGATCAGACACGAGGATTTACAAGAAGTTAAGTAATGTTGGTGACATTTTTTTGGAAATCCAAACATTCCAAACTGTATTTCAAACCACACAGCCGTGACTGCATTGTTTGAAGTGAGTCTCCCACTGAGGCTCCAGCAGCGCTAAAATCTTTAGCTTTAGGCCTCTTATTTTTGGAGCACACACTGGTGAGATATAAGAATCTTGATCCACCCTGAGCCAGAAAGCCAGAGAAAGGAGACATGCACAAAGTAACGACTGAGGCAGGAGAAATCAGGAATGTCAGCTCCTTGGATTGGAAAAAACTCTGCAAGAGACTAAGATGCTGGGCCACTGGCCACCCTACAACACTGCCTTGGTGACATGTCAAAATCCTGAAGACAGGAGTGTGTCTTCAGGAGTGTGTCTTTGGCACCCCCAGCTGGGAGCTGGGGGTGCCAAACTCAGGAAGTTGTGGAGAACCAAAACAAAGGATAAGGGCACGAAGAAGTGATAGAAAGGTAAAGCAACAGTGCATACCACAGTTGTGTCTCTGGTCCTCATCACTCATGTCACCACAGTCATTGTCCCCATCGCAGATCCAAGATAAAGCGATGCACCTGCCATCATCACAGCGGAACTGATCTGTGTTGCAGGTTCTGGCCAGCATGGCTGTAGAGACAGACCGAACACATTTGATAGCACACATAACAATTGTCAGGGCTGTGACTGTAAAATTCAACAAATCTTAGCTAACCTTTTTAATTATGACATTTTCATTCGGTTTGTAATGGCCATTTATTTTAGGTACTTCCCCCCACAGCCTTTCAACTTACAAAGAAGGCCCAATACAACACTGGCAAAGCTTTCAAAATAGTCATGGCAACTCCACATTCCCATGCATGTTGAGCTATCTAAACAAAAGCCAAAGTGAGGCTCTGTAACCCCTGGCGGATAAAGAGAGGGGGAGGTGCTGTTTGTCTGTAGACACTGAGGGGCGTCACCACAGAGGAATGCAGCCCACAATAGGAGGCCTGGCTGACCACATCATCAACAAAGAAATACACCACTGGCTCACACTCTTCGCAACATCACTCACAGGAGTCTCTCACACAACACAGATGCAGACTGCCTGACRGACACGGACACACAATAAGCAAGCAGCTGATAAAGAGGCGGGAGCTGCGGCACAAAGCTCAAAGGCTCATTTTGGATGTGAGAGAGTTGACCGACACTCACTGCAGGAGTGGGGTTCATCTGAGCCATCAGAGCAGTCGGACCCTCCGTCACAGTACCAGTGGGCGGGGATGCAACGGCCGCTGGAGCAACGAAACTCACTCTGAGAACAAGTGGATGTAGCTAGGTGGAGAATATAGACAGAAATAAAGTCACTTAGAGGACTTGATCAAATACATTTTGCTTTTGTGAGCAGAAAAAAAAACGCTTTGCAGTTCTGTTCAAACTGAAATCTTGCTAAATGTATTAAAGTTTGACAAGTTAAAGCATTCCAGCGTGCTTATTTAAAAAGGATTAAGAACACAATATTACTTTAAACCAGAGGAGCCCAAAGTGGGGCCCCCGGGCCAAATTTGGCCCGCCAAGCCATTTGATTTGGCCCACCAGCAGTTGACATAGTTACTAAGCTGTAACCTGTCGTCTTTTGTAKAAACACAGTATTTCCACTTAGTCATTTCATCTATTGGCCCAATGACTATATAAGGGGCTGTAGTACAGATAGTCTTCACTCATGGTGATGAGKTTATCTAAGTAGCAAAGGCTCATGGGACATTAATGTCCCATGAGCCTTTACTAGTTGAACGTATGACAGACTTTCTCCAACTGTGCAGAGTAAAACAAAAGCGGGCCACTGCACTGGCTGCAAGTTTAATTGTTAAAAATAAAGGATTTTACTTAAAAAATATTTGTATTTCAAGTATTATATTACTGCATTTGGCCCGCAGCCCCAGATAGATTTTCATTTTGGCCCTCTTGAGGAAAATGTTTGGGCACCCCTGCTTTAAACTATTCACAAAATTACGTTTGTAGCTTCAGTATGTAAGGAAGAGATTGTATGGGTTTGTTTCTTATGTTTTTGTTTTTGTTATTGTTGTTGTGTTTCTTTCTTTTTTCTAATAATATATTCAATAAAAAATGATGGAAAAAAGGTGAGTCTATTTATTAGGAGTTATTTTTAAGTGGTGATTTGATTTTAACATGTAATCCAGACATTTATTTTTGCATCTATTTAGGCCACACTAACATWTGAGGAACTGAACAAGAGTACAAGCTTTAATCAGTACATAAAACATGCMTTACCCTTGAAGCTGGTGAACTCACCACAATGTGTTGGGCTCTCGTCACTCATGTCTCCGCAGTCATTGTCTCCATCACACAGGTACGAACGTGGGATACAGATGTTTGTAGACTGACATTTTGTTTGCTCTGGCTGGCAGGTTCTCTCCGCTGCAATAARCACAAGTTTAAAACATTTGCCACAAAAAAATACTAAACCTCTCTTTATGCTTTGTGGCMATACTCACGGCAGTTCTGCTCATCAGAAGTCCCGTTGTCGTAGCAGTTGTTGATGCCGTTGCAGACATAATCCCTTGCGATGCAGCGCCCATTGTTGCAGGTGAACTCTGTATTGGGGTCACAGGGTCTGAACAGGCAGCCCACTTCATCGCTATTGTCTCCACAGTCATCATAATGGTCACAGCGGTAGTGGTAGGGAACGCATCGACCGTTCCCACAGGTAAACACCGTAGGCTCACAGGTGTGGAAGGCTGCCAATCAGAACAAAAAACAGGTCAGAGATATGACCAACAGCTAAACCGATATGTTTACATTCACCAGAAACTCATTTTACCTGACAAGGCAATAAAAGATGACAGCAACTGTGGGGCTACATGCAAAAACAAGTGCATTGATTTGTGTTAGTGTTAATTCTGGTTATTTATGAGGGAGTAGCATGTCACTGGAAATTCAATCACAAAGTGCCAAAAATACACACCAGCATAGCTGAAGATTGGGTTAGATCCTGGGAAAATTAGTTTGTTAAAGGGGAACAAAAACACATGTTTTGTTAGTAACGAAGGTAGAAAAGAGAAAGTTGATTTCTGATTGAGACACAGGAAGACTACAGACGTTAAATAATTGAAGCTCAGAAGCGTACATAAGTAATTCAAATTGTTTTAAGAACTGCCTACCACAGACTCTCTCAAACTCATCGCTGCCATCTGCACAGTCATTGTCATTGTCGCATATCCATTGTGCTCGAATACATCGGCCGTTCATGCAGGTGAACTGGCCTGGCTGGCAGCGAGTCCCATTATCAGGTATGCAGTACTTATTGTCAGCCAAATACCAGCGGCCCTCTGTGGGACACTGACACTCAGCTCCATTTGGACCTAACAAAACAAAATTGTAAAAATAAATAAATAAAAAATTATCAGCATTTAATTGAAAAATGTCTTTACTTAAAACAGAGTATCAGATTGCACCTGATGTGCAGATGTGGCTGCAGCCTCCATTGAACTGCTGGCAGGGACTTTCACACTTCTGCTGCTTCCTGCTGGCCAAAACATGGATGTCCATTGGTCGAGAAGGAAGGTTCTGAATCATAACCCTCAGGTCAGAGCCATCATACTTGTTGGCTCGATATATACTGTGGGTATTCCAGTCAGTCCAATAGATAAACTGACCAAACATGGTCATGGCAAATGGGTAAATGGCCGTGCTGACAATGACCTCACGGTTGGATCCCGTGAGAGAGGATCGCTCAATCTTCTGTCTAATGGAAAAGAAAATCACGACAATGAAAAGTTTTGGAGTAACAAAATAGCACAACAGATACAAAATAAAATGGCTGAAGTGGGATTCTCCAGATCTTACAAGCTGGCATCTGCCCAATAAAGCCTCTCTTCTTCATAGTCCAAAGTAAGACCATTTGGCCACACCAGACTGCTATTCACAATCTCTGTTCGGAAGTTTCCACCCAACGTGGCTCGCTCAATTTTTGCATGGACTCCCCAGTCTGTCCAATAAATGTATCTGTGCAATAAAAAAAAAACAAAAAGCTTAAACACGTCCAGTTTAATCTCAAAAAGGGGTATGCCATGCAGTTCTTACCCTCGGCAGGGATCCAACATGATGGCCCTTGGTCTGGGTACATGAGCAATCATACTTCTCTGAGCACCATCCACAGACATAGAACTGATGCTTTGGTTTACAAAGTCACTGTAGTAAATACGTTTGTTTATCCAGTCATAAGCAACACCATCAGGAGCTCCAAGATCTTTTAAATTATAAAAAAAAATCCATTATGATAGCACCAACTAAGACTGTTCAAGTAAGTTCTGGAATGTTAAACTCACCGGACGCTACAACAACAGGAGGTGAAGTGGGGAGAGACAGGCTGATGTAGCTGATCTTGCTTGCTCCTGACCCTGAACTTTGTGTGAAGTAGATCCTATTGTCTACAAGGTCAAAATCTAGAGCCACTGATGTACGAAGCACGTTGACGACAGGAAAGGGYAATGCATGGTCTTCTGGATCAAGCCGCAAGCTGCGAACCGTACTCTCAGTGGTGTAGATGAGGTAATCATTCTTTGACATCTCACAGCTCTTTTGATCTGCTGCAAGATCCCCAAAAGCACAGCTGCACTTTTTATTTTGTGTGCCTGCRCTAGAGCCTGGAAGGGCAAAGCAGAAGTGGGCACAGTCTCCATTGGTTTCCATGCAAGGGTTGTAGTTCAGGTCCAGGGCACTGGTGGGTTGAGTCCGCTGGTCAAAGATAGTTACATCTCTCAATACGTTGATATTGTCTCTAATGACAGCAGGCGGCTCTGTGTTCCCTGGCTCTTTGCTCGCTTTGAAAACCTTCTTAAGGTTTCTGTCCACCCAAATTATGTCATTCTCAAACACTGTAATTCCATAAGGGGTTGGGTAGCGACTGCCATACCTGACAATCTCTGTCTCCCCTCTGTGGGGGTTGACTCGAGCAATCATGTCAAGAGAGTCATCAACCCAATACACGTAGCCAGTTTGCCAGTCCAGAGCGAGGCCTCGTGGGGTGATAATCCCAGAGGACACTAAAATTGTGCGGTTGGTTCCATCCAAAAGTGCCTTTTCAATTTTTGGAGTCTGACCATAATCAGCCCAATACAGGTATCTATTTCTGGGGTCTACAACAATGTGGCGTGGCATATCCACCTGGGTCTTCAGCAGCACCCTGCGGAAAGTTGTGTTCAGGCGAAGTACCTCAATGTAGGTCTCAGTCAGAAAGGCGTTGGTGAAATACAAATTACCTGAGGACAAAATCAAATAGGACTTCAAAAAGTTTTGTGCAGTTATTTTGCTTTTTACAGCTTACAGAAGAGAAAACAACAAGCTTACCTGCAGCCCAGTCCACAGCAATGCCTCGAATACCATTCCGACCAATTCCAGATGTAACTATGCTATGCAATCCTGAGCCATCAGGTTTTATGCGTCTGACCCCATTTTGCATTGCCAAAGTGCTGCTGAAGTCACACCAATATATGTAACCAGAAGCCATGTGCACGTCAATGTGGAGTGCATTACGGCCTGTAAGAGAATAATTTGACACTCAGTAATTCAGCTCATGTTTTTAACAGTGGCATTTTTTATTATTATTATTACTGACCTCTTCCAGCAACAGGGACCATGGCCTCAGAGTGATCAGACCCTTCCAGACTGAAGCCTTTAATGGCAGACAGAGTGGAGATGATGACATAGGACTGATAGGGAGCACAGGTCCGGTTGTCAGGGTTAAGTTTAAAACCTGTTGCACATGCACATGTCAAAAGGCCATTTGGTCGAGGCAGACAGAGCTGTTCACACATTCCCACATTGTCAGCGCAGCCATTCGATGCACCTGCAGATGCTGCGTTTGTAGAGAAAGCGTATTGTGACAYATAAAAGAAAAATCAACAAGAAGAATTAAATGGTGAATGAAAACTGGGTAGATTACATATTTTTGAGCAATTGTGCTACTCACTCTCTCGAAAATGAACTTTTAGGACTCTAAGTCCTGACACGTTGTCTCTCAACACAACCCTGTTGGCACCGGTGGACTTGTCCACACGCTCTATGACCTCAAAGTCACGGTCAGTGAAGTACAGGTAACTCTGATAAACAGCCACACCCCAAGGGTGAGACAGGCCTGTCATGATGGTGATGCGATTACTTCCATCTGGATCACCACGTTCAATCTGTGGTAGTTTAATGCACAAAAGGATATCAGTAATATCTTTACAAAAATTATTTACTATATTCAATTCAAGGTATAAAACATATCTTTACTGTCAGAATTTTAAAAAGAATAAAGAAAATGGAAACTCACTTTGCCTGTGCTTGTTACAGCCCAGTACAGCTTGTTTTCTTTGATGTCCACAGTGATGAACTCAATGTGATCCAAGTTGTGGGTGAAAAGGTTGACTGGGTTTGTACCATCCATGTCTGCAGATGCAACTTTAGCAGGGATGCCACTCTCTGTTCCTTGGTCTGTCCAATACAGTTTGCTGAAGAAAATGTATTGTTAAATTGTGTTGTTGTGTTTCAAAGCAATTTAGTAAGGCATACAGCATTTATCAAAAAATTATATGGTTTATTCCAACCCATCATGGTCAACTGTAACATGAAATTAAAAATATTTTTTGTTAATTGACTGCATGTTGCCAAGATTTTAGATTGCATGGTGTTCTAGAGTAACACTTMTTAACCTCTCTTTAGAACAGAACAGATGGTGATGTAGATGGTGACAGAGCTCMGTAGCTGCAGATTTACGTGGCTGTGCCAGAACTGTAATACATGGGGCTTACCCACGTGCTGGATCTACTGCAATGCCAACAGGACTGCCAGCTCCAGTCGGAGAACCATTGTTAGTGATTAGGGTTTTCCGGTACTGTACCTCGCCTCTCAACTTTAAAACCTGGGCAAACACAAAATACACAAATTAGTAAAAATATAAATAGGGACACATGTACAGAAATATGTAAAAACGGTAACTGTGATTAAATAAGTAAGATTGGTTTGTTGGTTTCATTTGGTATTTCTGTTGGTGGGTCAGACTGATTTGTTTGTTTGTTTGTTTGTTTGTTTGTTTGTTTGTTTGTTTTTTTGTTTGTTTGTTTGTTTGTTTGTTTGGTTGCTTGGTTGGTTGGTTGGTTGGTTGGTTGGTCAGCAAATCAGATGAGTTTCACTGGATTGGTTTTTTTGCTTCGTCACTTTGTCAGTTGGTTGCTCTGCCAGCCAGCTTGGTTGATTGCTCAGTTTGCAAGCATGGTTGGTTCTCCAATCAGTTTTGTTTGTTAATTCAATTTGGTTGGTCAGTTTAGTTGCTTGACACATTGGTTAATAAGATTGGCTAGCTGTTTGATTTAGTTGCTTGGGCGATGGATTAGTCAATTTATTTGGCTGTTTAAATAATTGGTTAGCTGGTAGATAGGTAAGTGTATTGGAATGTGTGATGTAAAAACTACTCTAATATTTATGATATTTACGATTTTATTAGATTTTTTTTTTTATTTTACCATTTTTCTCACCTCAATAGACTGTGTGGCTGGATTGGTGTAGTACAGATTCTCAGTTATCCAGTCCAAAGCCAGGCCAACAGGGGAGCCAAGAATGGCTGCAGGAGCAAACTCTGTCCTGTTAGTACCATCTGACTTCACCCTGTGGATTTCACCCTAGGGGACAAAAAGAAATAATTTGACTTTGCCCAGCGCATAAAATTGATGTATTCAYGTAATCTAACATGTTTCACTCAAACGTTAACTTCTTCAGAACCAAAGGAAGTTCCAAACAGAACAGTAAAATAAATTCATCATAACTTTTCAACTGCATCATTCCTTTTTAATGCATGTTAGAAGAGCAAATACTGACTTACTGGGTATTCCACCCAATAGATGGTCTGTTCACTATCATCAAAGTCAACATCATAGCCATTTTGAAGACCAGCCACTGGAACCATAGCATCATTGCTCTTTTCTTCTGGGTTCAAAGGAATACCATAGATGATGCTATCTCTCACAACCACAAGAAAAGGATCTTCAACTAAAAAAGAAACAACAACAAAAAGTCAAGAMCAACACATTTCCAAAACTAGAACAAAGAACACAACTGCAGTCTCTTCATATTATAGTGTCAAAGGAAATGGACTATCTAACATTTTAAAATTATACAATAAATTATGAAGCAGAACTGGGATGAGAGGCTGCAGTGACGTCGCTTTAGTCTATGGTAATTAAAAAGTAGCACTACAATATTTGGTGCAAATTAGAGATATCAAGCAAAAAGGTCATTATCTATTAAAAAAGAACTGACTGATGAAAACTGGTTCCACAATCTGATTTGCTTTGTCATCAGAGATTAGAGTAAAYGAATGATCGTTGGGCTTTTTCATTCTTGGATAATTGTTGGCTTCAGGGGAAGATTGCATTCTACAYGGTTTGAAGAGGCTGAAACCTGAGATGAGTTAAGCTGCTGACCTACGGCAGACTCCTTGGACTCTGAATTAAAGGTCCCTTGTCTTCTTGAGACCGTGAAAGACACGCTTATATGATTTCTATTATTTATGYCTGGAACACTAATTTTACAAGAGAGTCTAAATGGGAGGTTGTTGACAAGTGCTTGGATCAATTGATAACACAAAGATACTGTTTTCAAAGATTTCTCCCTTTACTAACGTGAAAATGTGTTTTTCTACCTAAAATATGCAAGAATGATAATTTTCTCAGTTTTTCTCTTTTATAATAATGTTAACTGCTCTGATGAATAACAACTTCATTTGAACTATATATATTTTTTATCATGCTGTGATTGGTATTCCTCATTTTGGCAGCAAGTATACCTCTGGTGCAGGAGAACTGGTCGGCTGCCAGAGTCCAGCCTGAGGGGCAGGCGCATGAATAAAATCTTGGTCCCACAGCAGAGAGTAGACAGATGTGAGTACAGGGACTCCCCAAGCAATGGTTCTGCCCTACAATTGTGTCAAATCAAACAAAGTCAGGTGAGTGTATGTCACAGTTTCTCACAGGTTTGTATTACACACTGGCCACATTCAAACTAATTGCAGCTATCATATATTAGATTATGCTGATTTTTAGTTGCCCTACCTGCTGGCTGCCTGGCTGGGTGTAATGCCACCAGACCCATAGGCTGAGGGAGGTTAAACAGCATCACTGTCTGGTTCTCCCCATGCCACTTATGAGCTCGCATCACCCGGTTGATGTATCTGTCGGTCCAATAGACAAAATCCTCAAAAATGGTAATTGCGTGGGGATGTTGCAGTACCTTTTCATAGAGAGTAGCAAAAGAAAAAAGGTGTGTCTCATACATGCCATTTAAGATAATTTCAAATGTATTCTGTTAATGTTTGGATGATTAACATAAACGTAATCTTTAGTGATAAGATAAAGAAAAGGTTTTATCACAACAGAAACTCACCAAGTCACTGGCCAGAACTTGCTTTCTGTTGTTGCCATTGTAATCACAGTAGTCAATGAAATCCAAGTAAGCATCAGCAAAATACAGCAAACTATTTGGATAGTCTATGGTTAAACCATTAGGCCAGTAGAGTTTGCTGCTTATGATTACTGTCCTCAGCTTCCCATCCATGCTTGCCCTCTCAATGCGGGGGTTCCTTCCCCAGTCGGTCCAAAACATCAAGTGAGCACTGCAAAGCAAATTGGCATTTACCATCAATATACAGCAAATGGGAAAAAAACATGACATTGAATTACAAATAGGCTTATAAAATAATAAAACTTCTAACCTCTCTCTAGGATCCAGCACAAGACCTCGAGGGTTGGTGACATTTTCACTGACTAATACAGTCCTGTGGGTGCCATCTAGTTTGGACACTTCAATTGTTTCCAGGACATAATCAGTCCAGTACAAGTTCCTGCCCACCCAGTCCACAGTGAGACTTTCTGTCACAGTCACTCCACTGTCAAATACCTGGCAAGATAAATATTCTTAAGCATTTTTTTAAAAAAGCAAATAACTTGTGATTCACATTTTAGCTCACTGTCTTACCACAGCTCTGTCACTGCCATTCTTGTGACAACTCCAGATTCTGTCCTGGCTTGTGTCAGACCAGTACACGCGATCAGACACAGAGTCAAAATCAAGGGCCACAATGTTGCGTCCATCTCGAACCAGCGACCGGACCACATTAGGTTGAGTGGTTATGTCATCTTGCACGATCTGATTCCGACTGGCCACAAGCAGGAACGCCTGTCTCGAATCTGGATAAACAGAAGCCAAACTGTTGTTACTTTTTTTCCATGTTCATTTTCATTCTGACAAAAGCACTTATCGGTTTTTGTGTGTGGACCACAGCCATACAACTAGACTGTTAAATAGACCCTAATCAAATGGCACTCCTCTGGGAATGCACTTTTGTCTAAATAATGTCCCATTGTGCTGCAAGCTTTCAGGCAGTTATCTGTAGGGTGGGTGGGGTGGGGGGGGGCTCATGTCAGGCACGCTCCCACCATAAACAGCCCTTTGTTTGTGATTATGTTCTAATTACACCGCTGATGGTCAGTGACTGACATATATGTTATTTGTCTTATCTTTTGAAATCAGAGCGGCAAAGCAAGACAAGGGAGAAGAAAGGCTGTCTGGCAGTCTTGGGGCCAAGCTTCCCCCTTTATTATGGCTCCTTCCCAACAGGTGGCAAAGTGGAAATAACTGAGACGTGTACCAAAGATAAAATATATTGAAGCTTAAATTACTGCAGGGCTGATAATGAAAGCATTTTACTTCATTATGAAATCATCAACCGTAGACATTCTGTGCACACAGGGTTTTTGGTATCTCTTCTCACCTGACACCTTGCAGGTACGTTGATCTGCTTCAAGAGTGTAACCATCCTGGCAGTGACAGCGGAAAGAACCTTTCTCATTAAAGCAGTGCTGGCTGCACAGTCCTGGGGGATTACACTCATCGATGTCTTCACAGGTTTTTGAGTCATTGCTGAGCTGATAACCCACAGGGCATGTGCACTGGGCCCCAAATGGCCCCTGGATACAACCATGTGTGCAGCCAGCATTGTTATCAGAGCAGCTTTCCTGATCTGGGTTGAAAGCAGAAAAAAAAGAATCATTTAGCACTGAAAATCTAAAATAACATCCATTACATGCACGATGCACTCTAATGACGATGGACAACAAAAGCAAAGATTACTTCCATCGATTTTACTTAGAGTAGCTGTGCTGTGCCGTAACTATTTTGTGGTGAACAATAAACATGGTGAATAATAAAAATCAACAAAAAAAATATTAATGGAGATGGTGCGTCTTCTAAAAAAATGAATCAAAACTACTCGCAGCATTTCTACCAATGATTTAGAGTTGGTTCCTACCTGGTAAAGGCTCATCTGAAAATTGTGAGAAAGGCAAGAGGGGGAAAATCACAGATCATTGTCAGGTTAATAACAGGACAAATCACACACACATGCTTGATTTAAACACAAGAATACAAATTGAAGTTGGTGATATTTAATATTTTCATTTGAACTTTTCTGTGGATAAATGTGAATATGTTTAATATATTTCAAGAACTAGAAAAATTAAAGGAGAAAATAATCTTATTTGACGTGAAATGCTTAAATGTTACTAAAAAAAACAGCCAAGCTTTAAAGCAGATCAAGAAGCAAATGAGGAAAGAATTTCCACAGTTATACAGCTTTAAGCAACAAATTCTCAAATTCAATTCAATTCAAAAATACTTTATTGATCCCAGAGGGAAATTAGGTTAATTTAGTTAGACTTTCAAAAAAATAATAGTTTAATCAAACACGTGACTTGGTTATAATTTTGAGTGTGTGATGTCAAAATCAGAGGATGCGACTTACTGCAAAGTGGAGACTCATCAGCACCATTAGGACAGTCAGGTGTGTTGTCACACACTGTGGTGAGATTAATGCAAACACTGTGACCGGGGCACTGCCACTGCCAGCTTGGACATTGGAAAGGCGGTGAGGGACAGTCCCTTTCATCGCTCATGTCCCTGCAGTCGTTGTCTCCATCGCAAAGCCAGCTGCGTAGCACACAGTTTCCATTATCGCAGCGGAAGAAGAAGGAAGGGCAGGTACGAGGCGGGCAGGCGTGATGCTCATCACTGCCATCCTGACAGTCTGGATGGCCATCGCATTCCCACGTAGACGGGACACAGCTCCCATCTGACTGGCACTGAAACTCACTCTCATGGTGGCACATCCCTGGAGGCCTAGTGGCTGGAATATACGAAGGAAGCGGTCAAAGTTAAAATGCATCAATAATCTGTGATATGCTAAAAATTACAAGACAGAGTGATAACTCAGGGGTGTATGTTACGAACACAGGCAAGATGTAAAGACTTACGGCAGTTCTGCTCATCAGAGCGATCACTGCAGTCAAAAACTCCATCGCAGCGATAGAAGGAGTTGATGCACTGGTGACCACTGGTACACTTAAACTCACTCACTGTGCAGTTGTAGACTAAAAAAATTTTCAAAAGAGTATGTTAATTCTAACATGAAATTGTTTTCTGGTTGTGTTACACTCAAATGTTGCACAACACAGCAAGTGAGAGCAATAAACTAAGAGGCTTAGGAAAGGCTTGGTGCATTTTACAGAGAGTTTATTTGACCACAACAACCTCTTCTGGTAACTGATTTATGCATTTAAATAAATGTCGAAAATCACCACCTGATATGTTTTTTTTTTTTTTGAAAAGTACTTACTGCATCCCTGTTCATCTGCTCCATCCACACAGTCTCTGTCTCCGTCACAAACATAGTTCGGGTCTATGCAGCGATGATCTGGACACTGAAACTGTCCTGGGTGACATGTACCTCCTAGATCTGTCACCGCAAATTGGCAGACATAAATGAGTCTTCGTTATTATCCTTTCTTTGTTCACTATATTGTATTAAAAAACAACAAGAGCTTTACATTCATCTGAATAATGGTGACTTTGTATATCTGGGCCCACGATAGGTCTAGACTTATTTAATATTTTCAATTACCTAAAACAAACAACAGTTAAATCAAGTTCAATTAACACTTTTTTATTCTTAGGTTAACTTTAAAACACATCATTCTTAATAAAACATCATTTAACATTTTGATTATTGGAAAAGGAGGGAAAAACCCAAAAAGAACGTTCCAACAAAAATGCCTGAAAGGATATGTTTTTTTTTTTTGGTCCAGTTTATTATGTAATCCTACAATTACTTTAACTCAGTCAGTTTGGCCCTCCGGGTAATTAAATGTTGCGTGCCCTGCTGTTAAACTCCATGAGGAAACTTACAGCAGTCTGCTTCATCTGAACCGTCCCCRCAGTCGTTATCTGTATCACAACGCCAGGTGTGTGGGATACATCTGTGGTTGGCACAGGTGAACAGATTAACAGGGCACGTTCCAGGCACCTGTGTAGGGCAGCTGAGCTCATCGCTGTCATCAAAACAGTCATTGTGCCCGTCACATCGCCATCCGGCTGGCACGCAGCGCCGATTGACACAGGTGAAGGCAGAGGGGGAACAAGTCGTGTCTAGGAAACAAGAAGATAAAGATCTGATTATGTAACATTAACCTGAACACAACCAAGGAGTTTTAGCTCTAGTTGGTTTAAATGAGGGAAAAATGGATTACTGTTAATTTCACAGCTGGCTTCATCACTGTTGTCGTGACAGTCATCAACGCCGTCACATCTGTAGCTCTGCGGGACACATTTGCCATTGCCACAAGAGAAGGAGTTGGCTCCACACTGCAGTGTGGGGGGCTCATTGGAAGGGTCTTCCACACAGGACTGCTGGTTTGGCGACAGCCTCATGCCATACGGACACCCGCACACTCTCTGTGAGTCTGGAGCTGGGAAGCAGAAGTGGCTGCAGTCCCCGTTAGGATTTGTTGGTCTGTTGCAGAGGTTGGAACCTGCGGGAGGGGGAGGAGAAGATAATTAGCAGAAATATGACCGATACGTAAGCGGCACTGTGGGACAGTGGGTTGGAGCTGTCGCCTCTTAGCAAGAAGATAGCAAGATCTGCTCCCAGCAGATAACTGGTAACTCTAAAGCAAAGATTCTTAACCCATGGGATGCGGCCGAGCACCACCTTGAGGGTCTCAAAAGAACAACAGTTTTTAACTTTGGGCCGCAGAGGGTCGCGGGACTGCATTGATTGTGAATAAGGTGCAATACCCTTTCTCACCACTAGTAGCAGTAGTGCACCACTCAGATGTTTAACAAC